CTGTCTGTCTCAGTGTGTTATCTGCACAAGGCTGAATGTCAATGAGGCAGGGCCAAATCAAGGGCCACAGACACAAAAGGACCAGCTCTGGGCTCAGTCTGGCCACCAGCTGGATAATAGGGAACTGTCCAGGCTCCCTCAGACCAAGCACGCTCCCTCCGCAGGGAGACTGCAGGCCCAGTAATTAGGAGCACAGTCCTGCTGCCAGCCACCAGGGTTACACCTTGCCTTGGACAGCTTCATCTCTGGGGCTTTTCATTCATTTGTAGATGGGATCACTGTAGAACCCATTGGTCAGGTTGCCGGGAGGATACAGTGAGTACAGCCTCATTAGCTGCTATCAGTCCCTGGTCAGGAGCACCCTCTGAGTCAGTTGAGACCACCCAGCTTTGCAGTTAACAGTTGAGTATTGGGGCTGGAGTGATAGCACAGTGGGTAAGGTGTTTGCCTTGCACGTGGCCGACCCAGGTTCGATTCCCAGCATCCCATATGGTGCCCCGAGCACTGCCAGGAGTAATTCCTGGGTGCAGAGCCAGGAATAACCTCTAAGAATCTCTGCGTGTGACTCAAAAAGAAAAAAAATAGCTGAGTATAGGAAGAGAGAGAAATGAGTCCTGGTAGCAATTTTCTATTCACTGTGGCTAATTGAGGAGTAAGGGTCATGAGCACTGATAAAAATGCCTCTGCTTTAGACCACAACACCCAAAAGGAGAGAGAGAACAAAAGGGAATGCCCTGCCACATAAGCAGGGTGGGATGGGGGGATGGGTGTGGGAGGGATACCGGAATCCATGGTGGTGGAAAATGGGCACTGGTGGAGGGATGGGTACTTGATCATTGTATAATCAAAACCCAAGCACAAAAATTTGTAAATCTACAACTGTACCTCATAGTGTTTCACTAATAAACATTTTTTTAAAAAATGCCTCTGCTTTAAAGGACGGGAGGTCCAGGGTAACTTAGCCCCAGTAGTATGAACATTTCCTTCACAATTAGCTGAAAGGGAAATTTCCTCATAGCCCACACAGTACAAATGGACAGATGATACATTTATCAGAAGTCCTTCCCTGAAGGCAGAAATGATGTAAAAGGCACTCCAAGTTTCCTCATTTAATGCCCTAACTTCTTCCTGTTTTATCTTTCTAGATGGTGAAATCCTTGTTTCAGTAGCTTTGGATTAGACACACAGACCAAAGAGTCCACTGGAACCCACTTACTAACAAAAGATGAGTTTCAAATCCTTGTTCATTTTTATCAGTTCTAAAGCAGAAGATTGTCTCTTTGAAGCATATATATATATATATATATATGTATATATATATATATGTAGGTTGGCAAACTATTCTGAAATAGTTGTCCTTAACAATATGGATATTTGGTAAATAAATATTTTGGTATAAAGCATAAGCTATTTAATGCATTCATATTCAATATTCATTTTTTAAAAAGTACATAACATGGAAAAATGCCACAAAGAAAACTGCCATTAAAATTAAATTATAAAAATTTCACCCTCAATAAAATGTTTAAAATTTGTTAAAGGTGGGGCTGGAGAGATAGCACAGCGGGTAGGGCGTTCGCCTTGCACGCGGCCGACCCAGGTTCGATTTCCACCATCCCATATGGTCCCCTGAGCACCGCCAGGAGTAATCCTGAGTGCAGAGCCAGGAGTAACCCCTGTGCATCGCCAGGTGTGACCCAAAAAGCAAAAAAAAAAAAAAATTGTTTAGAGGAGAAATGACCAAGGGAAAATCTCACACTCAAAAATAGTTTTAGTATTTTATCTCTTAAAAAAATCTCTAAAATATTTCCAAAATGTGGGGGGACGGAGGTGGTAAAGCACTTGCCTTGCAAATGGCCAACACGGATTTGATCCCTGGCACCCCTTATAGCCCTCCAAAGCCTTATCATGAATGCAGAGCCATAAGTAAGCCTGAGCACTGCCAGCGTGGCCCAAAATTTTTCTCTACATTTTCTAAAATAAGCAAAGATTCCTATCACAATATACCCAGGTATATAACAGATTATAAAAATATAGCTCCATTTACTTCTGAGACAAATGGTTTTGAAGAGGCAGCGGACAGTTTTCCCTTTTTTATTTAAAAATTTGAAGCCTGGCAACTACTTTGTGACGAGAATTAGCCCAGGCACCTACACGGAATGACCAGTTTGGGGGTCTCAGATTTGAAAAACAAGACACTCTCCTCCTGCGCTGGGGACCTTGGATGCCTCCAGAGAGGCAGCAACAGCTCTCGGGGGAGACAGAAGCTCTGGCCAGGGAACAGCTCCACTCTCTGACCCAGCCACTCTTCCAGGAAGCCAGTGCAGGTGATCCTTCCCTTGGCTCCAAATTCCACCAAGGACGCAATTCACTGTGTTGGCTCTAACGCAACGGAGCATTTCTACATGTTACCATGTACAAAGGCAGGAGACGAGCACCCAGAGTTCCCCACCCTCTAAGAGCGCGGGGCCTCTCCCTCTCGGTTATGATCTCAAAGGTTCTCATGGGGATCCGGGAGCTCCCAAACAATTCTGTATAAATGCACTCCACTGCCGAATTCTTCATGACCAGTTCAATGAACCCACAGGACTCCCTGGCGTGAGCAATTGTTTCGGAGGAGGTCAGCTCAAGTTGATTCAAATCAGAAAATCTTGCACAGGAACTGGAGTGGGAGCCACCTTCGGAGAGCCGCACCTCAAACACTGGACAAGCTGCTAATAAGTCCAGCCATCACCTCCGGTTGGGGCTTGTGTTTGTTTAGAAGCTCTCCAAAGTCCCTTTAACTCAAACACACAGGCAGCTTCAGACCAGCTCTGCTCTCTGCAACTTTCTCAGCAGCTGTGTGTCCAAGTGAAGGGATCCTAATGTGTTTGCCGGACCACTAAGTTGGACTGACAACCATGGGCACGTTCAAGCTACTTCCCAACCGATGGTGTCAGAAAGTAAAGCTTGAGCAGGCCTCGGGACCAGCAGTCTCAGACCCCATATAGACTGATACCAGCATGTCCCACCAGTGTCCCACACTTGATGTGGCTTAATGAATACAAACTGAAGCATCAGCATCAGTGTGTTAAAAAAAGTTACTCAGGGTTTTGGAACACAGAAATCTGGTCCCTTGTATCGCGCCAAAAAAACTTTATTAAGCCATTCATAACAGATTCTAATAGAGTAACAGTTTGGCTACAAGAAATGGCAAATCTGAAGGACCAGGGCCTTAGGGTTTTAAGAGGCAAATTTGCCCAATAAATCCATCAAGTGGCCTAAAGTGACATTCTCTGAAGTGACTCTCTACATACAGAAACTGTGACTATTCTTATAACCTTGCTCTAGTCCAGAGAGAGAAACTTCAAGGGAGAGAGGAGAAATTCGCAGCTGTTAAGACAAGATCTTTCTCTGGCCCCGCCTACCAACACAGGACACTTTTCCAAGACAGTCTCATCAGAACAAAACACAGCAAGACCTGGATATGGCAGGGCAGCCAATACACTTCGTACTCCAAACTTCACCCCAAAGCTGAGATCCTTTGAACACGAACCCTACCTGCATGATATAAATAGGCACCTGTCCCGAATGTTATCCTCAAATGCTCAAAATTCAAATCTTAGATCTCTTTCTAGACTAGGCTGTCTGCAATAATAATAATAATAAAAAAATACTGCCAAAATATAACAGACAGGAAGGAAATATGTCAAAATGCTTATGATTGTTTGGAGAAAGTGATTTAAAAAAAAACATCTTCTCTACTCAGAGTAAATGCAAAATGCAGAGGTCTGGAGTAAGTGGTCTGCATGTTCCCCGGTATTTTAAACCAGAGAGGGCCAGAATAAGGTGAACTGCTTTGAAAGATTTCCTTGTCATACAGTTTCGGCTCTTGAGAGACTAGAGCATAAGGCAGCCTTTCTGCCAGTAATAAGCCAGGTTCAGACCGGGAAGCAGCAACCAGAAAGCAAACCCCCAAACTGACTGCAAATGGATGCAAAACAAGGTTCTCTTTAAAAAAAAGTTGCACTTCTCAAGCCCACCCAACTCAGAGCCTAGTTAGTCCCGGGTCAATTTAACCTGCCACCCTGACTAGCAAAGCACAGATAGTGACTTGTGTGCGTTGAGCAAATAGTGGGGGTAACCGTGGGTGATGTGCACAAGCCGCGGCGTGAGGCTTCACCGGCTTCCTTGATGCCAAGCAGAAAGAGGCAAAGAACCGGACACTGACGGTCGGGGACCCTTGGGGCTACTTCCGCACTGACCCTCTGTGCCCCCGGCAAAACTTCCAAGTCTTCACGCCCGCGGGCAGAGCCTCGGGGTGGTCCACCGCGGTTTTAACGAGGTCCCCGGTCGGTCCCTGCTGCAAGGTGACAAGCCCCGACCGTCTCCAACTGCCTCGTTTCGAAACGCGCCGCCCAGCACCAACGGCTCCATCCCCGGCTGGCTCGGCTCGAGGCAGCCGCTCGGGGGGTCCCCCGCTGGGGGGACACCGCGAGGACTCCCGCATCAGGCAACAGGCTCGGGATGCTGCGTTCGACCCCCCGGCTCGGAGCGGCCGTCACGCGGGGGCCCGCGCCACAGTCCCGCTCGGACGCGTCCACGCGCGGTCCCAGCGCGCCTCGGGAGCCCGGCCGCGGCGGCCCGAGCGATGCCCGGCCCCGGCTGACCCCCGCGCCGGGCGGCCTGGCAGACCACTCGCCCCCCGATCGTCCCCGCACGCCTCGGTCCGGCTTCCCGGAGCCCCCGGACGCGCCGAGACCCGGAGCGGGCTCGGCCGCGGCGCGCGTCCCCCCGGCCGCCCCGGGCCCCGCGCCCGCGACACCCACCCCGGGCGGGCGGGCGGGCGGGCATCCCGGGCTCCCGGCGCCCGGGCAGCGGCGGCCGCGGGCAGGGAATCGAGGAGAGAGAAAACCCTCGCCAGGAAGGAGGAAACGGAGGCGCAGCGGCGGCCGGGCAGCCCCGGCAGCCCCGCGCCCCCCGCCGGGCACACGGACGCGGCTCCCCGCGGCCGCACTCACCTCCTCCGCCGGCCGGGCCGCTCCGCCGCCAGCTGTCACTGCAGCCCACAGCCTGCCCCGCGCCCGCGCCCGATGCTATTTAAGGGCGCCGCCGTGGCCGCTGCCCGCTGGCTGCGCCCCAACCTCCGCCGCCCGGGAGCCGGGTTGCTGCTGGTGCGCACTGGGCGCCCGGCCCGGCCCGCCCCGGCCCCGCCCCCACGCGCAGGCCCCGCCCCGTCCCCGCCCACGCGCAGGCCCCGCCCCGTCCCCGCCCACCTCCACGCACGGGCCCCGCCCTGGCCCCGCCCCGGGCCCGCCCCCAGGCACAGGCCCCGCCCCGGCCCCGCCCCGCCCCGGCCCCGCCGCGCGCCCGCTCTCCCGTCCGGGCGCGCGCGGGCCAGCGGGACGCGGGGAGCGAGGCTGGCTGGAGTCTCCTCGGCGGGCCCCCAACCCCTCAATCCCACCCCCTCCCGCCTCATCCCCCCACCCCCGTGGGGCGTTTCAAAACGAATCTGAGCGAAGGGTGAATCTGTAGGGCCGCCTCCCTCGCTCCAGCCGGGCCAGACCCTGCGGGAGCGCGAGGGCGCGCGTGGGGGTGGGGGTGGCGGGGGGTGCCGGGAGGCCCCTGGGGATGCCCTTTTGCATCTTCCACTTTGAATCGCACTCCCTGCGGACTTCTTGGCCAGGGGCGGACGCGAGGCCAGGAGAGGCCCTGGCGGCCCAGCTGGCGTTTTCTTCCCTGTCCCTAGCCCCTTTTAACCCGATTTCACCACGGTTTCCAGTCCACGTTTCGCCACAGTCCCTGGCAGCGAAGCCTCTTCGTCTGGACCTCTGTCGTGTACTGAACGTTAAGCAACCCTGGACAGATTGGTCCCGGGAGAGGAAGACCCCCACGTAGATGCGACATTGCTCAAGGACAGCATTCACCTGCCTGGTTCTCGGGCCCTCTCCCCCACTCGGTCCAAGGCAATGCGGGCCTTCTTCCAGGGGTCTTTCATTCGTGGCATGTCCACCTGGCAGTCAGAGGCCCCCGCAGCTAGTGTCACACATGTGACGTTTCCTCTCATGGCCTGAGGTCTGGCCCTGGACCAAGTGCCACTTGGGGCTTACTGGCAGCAGTGCCTGTGCCCAGCGTGGTGTGGAGCTGGCTTTGAATTTATTTAGCCATCCCTCTGACGAAGACAGATGCCCTTTGTGGTCCTTAACTCTCTTCTAGTCCCACTTCTTTTTTTTGTTTTTGTTTTTGCTTTCTGGGTCACACCTGGCGATGCACAGCGGTGACTCCTAGCTCTGCACTCAGTAATCACCCCTGGCGGTGCTCAGGGGACCATATGGGATGCTGGGAGTCAAACCTGGGTTGGCCGCATGCAAGGCAAACGCCCTACCCGCTGTGCTATTGCTCTAGCCCCCTCTTCTAGTCCCCCTTGATGCCCCCTTCCCACCTCATGCCTCTGTCATCTCTACTTAGCAACCCAGAACAAGGTGTTTGTCATTGGATACAGTTGAGTCCCTTGTTTTCTTTCTCCATCAATCTCATGAGCTTCCACCATCTGGATTTGTCCTCTCCCACCACCTCAGGCGCCCTCCCCAGAACCCCAGGCGGGTGCTGTCCTTGTTCCCCTTTGCTAGAGAAGGACGGGGAGGTACAAGGAGTGAAAGCTAATGAAGTCAAGACAACACATGGGGTTCAGCCCGCCCACCTGCAGAGCCTGCGCAAAGCTTGAGGAGTCCATGCCACGCATGCTGGCCTGGTAGCAAGCGTGCTCTCTGGTGATGCTGGGCTGCTCTCACTGTTCCCACACACCTGACCATGTGGTGGCCGGGGACCGGGGCTGGGGTTTGCCAATTGAGCATGTCAAACAAAACGTTTCTTTTGTTTTGCTTTGTTTTGTCTGGGGAACACATCCGGCAGTGCTCAGGGTTTAGTCCTGGCTCTGAGTTCAGGAATTGCTCCTGGAGGGTTCAGGGGGACCATATGGGATGCTGGGGATTAAGCCTGGGTGGCCCGTGCAAGGCAAGGGCCCTATCCACTACTGTATTATTGCTCCGGCCCCAGAAGCTGAAAACTTGTGGGCATGCTCAGATTCCCAGTCCTCCTCCATTTAGACCTACAAGTAGCTTCCATGGAGATGGCGGAAGGGACAAAAAAGACTCCACTTTCCTTTTTAATTGCTTTTCACTTGACTAATCCTTGGTTTCTCTGCTCAGGTCTTCTCCTCCACACCCACGATTTCATCATGTCAGCCTCTCCTTTTTTTTTTTTTGCCTCTTAACTTCTCCAACCAGTCCTTCTGCCCTAGTGTCTGCAGGTGAGTTCCAAGTCCTGTGGAGTGCGAGTGATTTAAGGTTCCTATAACCAAGAAAGGTGGGGGAGGGGTTGCTGAATCAGGGCTTAAACATCTTCCACTTGCAACCCCCCTTTTGCCTGAAATTTTTACACCACTCCAGGTCCATAAAAAAAAAAGTCTACAAATGCAACAGCTCTTGACAATAAATCATGAATCTACTTTTAAACTCATTTAAAAAAAATTTTTTTTATTAGTGAAACACCATGAGGTACAGTTATAGACTTATAAATTTTTGTGCTTGGGTTTCAGTTATACAATGATCAAGTACCCATCCCTCCACCAGTCCCCATCCTCCACCACCACGGGTCCCAGCATCCCTCCCCCCCCCCCCCCCATCCCACCCTGCCTCTGTGGCAGGGCATTCCCCCTTGTTCTCTCTCTCTTCTTTTGGGTACTGTGTTTTGCAAGAGAGGCATTGAGTGGCAATCATGTTTGGTCTATAGACTACTTTTAGCATGCTTCTCCCACCCTGGGAGGGTCCTCACAACACCCTTTATTTGGTGCTCTCTTCTCTATCTGAGCTTCCTTTTCCCCTAGCACGTGTGGCTGGACTCCAAGTCATGGAGCAAAATTCCTGGTACTAATCTCAGCCATTCCAGGGTGTTAGTCTCCCGTTTTGTTGCTTTATGTTCTCCAGATGAATGCAATCTTTCTGTGTCTATCCTGCTCTTTCTGACTCATTTCGCTTAACATGATACTTTCCATGTAGTACCACTTGTATGTAAATTTTATAACTTCATCTTTTCTAACAGCTACATAGTACTCCATTGTGTAAATGTACCAAAGTTTCTTTAACCAGTCATCTGTTCCCAGGCACTCAGGTTTTTTCCAGATTCTGGCTATTGTAAAGTGTGCTGCAATGAACAAACAATTGCAGATGTCACTTCGACTATACCTTTTTGCCTCTCTGGGATATATTCCCAGGAGTGCGATAGCTGGGTCAAATGGGAGATCAAATTCTAATTTTTTGAGAGTCGTCCATACTGTTTTCCAAAAGGGTTGGACCAGCCGGCATTCCCACCAGCAGTGAAGGAGGGTCCCTTTCTCGCCACATCCGCGCCAGCACCGGTTGCTTTTGTTCTTGTGGATGTGGGCCAGTCTCTGTGGTGTGAAATGCTATCTCATTGTTGTTTTGATCTGCATCTCTCTGATGATTAGTGATGTAGAGCATTTTCTCATGTGCCTTTTTGTTAAACTCATTTTAGGGACCTCAGCATACAGAGAAGTGACCCCCACATACCCCACAGGTTAAGAGCTGAGGGCTATATAAGAGCAAGGGGTTGTCTGACAGTCCTGGAGAATAAAGGTTGGAAATCAGGTGTAAACAGGACTGGTTCTTTCTGAAGGCTGTGCAGGAAAAATCTGTGATGACTTTTTCCTTGGCTTGGAGAGCGCTTTTGCTTCCCTGTTGTCCTATTTCCTCTCTATCCACATCAGTTTCCATATTGCTCCTTATAAAGTCACCAGTCACTGGATTCGGGGCTAACAGACTGATCTCACTGTAACTCAGTTACTTCTGTTAAGACCCTCTCTCACATCATGAGGTATAGGGGCATGATTTCAACAATTAGGTTTGGGGTGGAGGGCACACACTTTTTAAAAAATGTATTTTTATTTTAGTTTAGATAATATGTTTACAACTATGTTCATGTTTATGGTCTTGGTTTACACAGTTACCAAACCTCACCACCACCAAGATGCCCAAGACCCTCCATCATGTCCTATGTCACTTGTAGTCTTCTGTCTCTTCTTCCTCTCCCCATCCTCCCACTGTCTGTAATGTTTTGGAATCCAAGACCAAGGGTTTTTGATAATATCCATTCCTTAATTGCTTTCTCTAGATATGATAGCGAGTGGGATCATAGTGTTTGTTCTTTCCCCTCTGATTTATGATACTTAACACAAAACCCTCCAGTTTCATCCAAGTTGGAACAAAAAGCAAGATTTCATCTTATAGCTGCGTAGTATTCCATTCTATATATGTATATATATATATATATGCCACAGCTTATCCATCCCCTCATCTACCATGGGGCACTTGAATTGATCCCATACCCCAGCTACTGTAGTCAGAGCTGCCATCCATGCACACAGGTGTGCACATATCTTTATGAGTCAATACTTTTGTAGTTTGAGGGGCAGGTACATAATTTAACATGCAAATGCAACAGCTATTACTGTCCGCATTTTTATTTCAGTGGAGCTGCCACTCTCTGATGCTAGCTTTTAGTGTAAGTGCTTGACTGCTCTCAACTGGGAAAACCCACACACCTAAGGGACGATGTACAGACAGAGGCCCTTTCCCTAGGCAGAAACTGCTGCATGGCATTGGGAAACGACTTCATTTTCAGAAGGTCACGGTACTCCTCTGGAAATAAGGAGGTCACACTAAAAATTTTCTCAAGTACATTTTGGTGCTAGTACTTCACACACAAAAAGATTTGCTCCCTAGTTATTTAAGTTATTTTTCACAATTTATGGGTTGCCTTTAGATCATCAGACTTTGATGGAAGGCTGTCTTAAAAAGCGACTGAAAACACAAAGCTTGGAACTAGACCCATCTTCCTATAAGACAGGAACAAAGTGTTTACTATGAAAGGTTGCTGCAAGGAATAACTGTTATTACCTCATTGTTTTCACCATAGGAAGGTTCCAGATTCCATCATCAGGGAGTATAGAGAGGGAGGCATCCAGTGTTTTAAATTATTATTGTTATAATTGACCTATAATATTCTACTAGTTTCCAGGATACAACATAATGGTTTGCTATTTGTATGGTTACAGGGCAGTCCCATAAATGGTGAAATGATCACCAAAATCAGCATCCATCACCACAAAGTTA